TCAAAAATAATGAGTGCATGATGCCCCTGATTGTGTCCAATGTGTATTTGAGAAAAAACAATTCATAATGAGATTTTCCCCCATTTTCATTTGTTTTAGTTCAATGAAAGGTTAGATTTTTTGTGATTTTTTTTTTTTTATAAAAAGATCAAAATGATTAATAATGCAGGTTTATTTTCACAGCCTTCTTTGATCATATTTACCAATGGTCCCAACCATTCTGACCACGATTGTATGCTTGGCCTAGTGGCCAAACTTCATACTGCATCAGTTAGAGCAGAGTGTGAAGAGTCTGAAGGTTAGCACAGCTGTACATAAAATATTGCAATCCCCATTACTTAATGTAAGTGGACAAATTGTTGGTGCATGTCTTGCTGGTGCATATGTGATCTCTGGGTGTATTGAGAGCCACGGTGTCCAGGGTAATGTCGGCATACAGTACCACCATGAAGTATAAACCAAATCCAGCAGGAGTAACTGTTGACGAAAGATATTGTCTGAAACCCCTTTATTCCCATTGTCCCCTATTTAAAATGGGTGTAACGGTTCATTGAGCTAAAATGTGGATTTTATTCTCATCTTAACCACTAGATGGCACAAAACCTCACCACAGCACTTTCCTAAACATTCATGTTTCACTGTACACCTCATGAAAAATGATGCTACATCAAGCAACCGACATTGCATTAACTCCATGAACATATTTGGCAATTGGAAAAATGCAACTATGCAGTGATGATTTGGGTATGTCACAAACTTCTATAAGCAAAGTAATCACACAAACAATTACAGCACTTTCAGAACTTTATTGTGTCGCTGTTCATTTCCTATCAAATATGTTAAGACATTACCATACACACACACACACACACACACACATATACAGTGGGTACGGAAAGTATTCAGACCCCCTTAAATTGCCTATAATTTTAAAGTGAAGGCTTATAATACACTTAAAGGTGCTATTTTATTTCCTTCTTGGACAACCAACCATAGTCTTCAAAAGGCTGTGTCATACCTAGCAACGGGGTCAGTCTCCTCACTAAGGTAAATGTTTTTGTCTTATCCTCACTCAGAGTTGCTCTTAGATTGGTCTTGAATCACTCTTTAGCTAAGACTCCTACATAGATTTTTTAAGCTAAATTAAGAGCTTTCTGAGAGGATTCTTTGAAGCTTTAAAGGGGTCATATGACATTTCTAAAAATAACTTTATTTTGTGTATTTGATCTAATGCAATGTGGTTTAAGGTTTAAAACACATTAAGTCCCACATACTGTACATTATTGTTTCTCTTCTATGCCCCGCCTTTCTGAAACACGTCGATTTTTACAAAGCTCATCGGTCTGAAAAGCGAGGTGTGCTCTGATTGGCCAGCTATCCAGTGCGTTGTGATTGGCCGAATACCTCAAGGGTGTGACGGAAATGCCCCTTACCATACTGTGATAGGCCTGTCCTAATACCCACACTTACAGTCTTTGCACTTGATCATTTGCCTACTTACATGACATATTTTCAGTAGTTTCATGAAGGGACACAGTATTATAAAAATGTAAGTTAAGTTTTTACAGAGCTTTATTTGCACATTTTGATTGTCAATACTTTGAAAATATGGTTAACAAGTGAAATTATTGGTGCAATATGAAGCATAAGTTGCTTCTTTTTGTTTACTTTGATCTTCAATACACTACAGCATTTGTAATTCTGTGATATTATCATATTAATTATAGCTATATATTATGTAACATCTATTAATTTAACTTACACTGGAAAGTTCTCATGCTTTTAAGGAACTTCCTGAACATAATAAATGATCAGACACACTTAGACTCAAACACCACTCTGAAGCAGTATTTTGGAGTAGTTTGGATTTCATGTGCATTAAGGGAACTGACCTTGATGATTGGATATTTATTTATTTGTTTGTTTGTTTGTTGTTGCTGTTAAATGTTGTAGATTTAGTGAGAAATGACCAAATGATAATCATTAAAATTACCAAATATATTTTGAGACAAAGTTCTTGTTAATGGTTTTCAGTTTTGTTTAAGGTGATTAAATCAACAGCTTTTTAACTGGGAAAAAAGTATTGTATTTGGGATAAAACCGCTGCTGTATATTGATACTTACTGATATTAATACATTTGCTGAAATAATAGTATGTCATGTCTGGACTTTTGAGTTGAAGTTTTTCCTGTGCCATGTTTGTAGTCTCCCCAGTTGTGTTATCTTGTTAAAGGGGTCATATGATGCTGCTAAAAAGAACATTATTTGGTGTATTTGGTGTAATGAAATATGTTTATGCGGTTCAAAAACACATTATTTTCCACATACTGTACATTATTGTTTCTCCTCTATGCCCCGTCTTTCTGAAACGCATCGATTTTTACAAAGCTCATCGGTCTGAAAAAGTGAGGTGTGCTGTGATTGGCCAGCTATCCAGTGCGTTATGATTGGTCGAATACCTCAAGCGTGTGACAGAAATGTTCACGGCGGCCTAGAGTGAGCGGAGGCCGGGGGATAAAGTGAGGAGCGGCCGGCGGGCTTGCGGCAACCACATGTGACGACCCCCGGCTGGACTCTGCTTCGTCCACGGTGAAAGCCGATCCGGCGATCCACAGCGCGAAGTTGATGGATTTCCTCAGAGACCACCACGGATCAGCTCCAGGCATGACGAAGCAGATATCATCCTCTTTT